TAGAAGAATTTGAGTAAGTCTAATTCTTTGGGTATTTGGTAGAACTCAGTGTAAAACTATTCTCTGTGTGTGAGTGAACCAAGGTTGAGGGAGGAGGAAAGATACAGGAGAGTTGGAGTATGTGTGTGTGTGTGTGTGTGTGTGTGTGTGTGTGTGTGTATAATTTTGATTTAATTCATTTAATGGCTATAAAAATATTTAAATTTTTTTACAAATAATAACTTTATTGTGATATTACTTATGTACTATAAAATTAATCCTTTTAAAGTGTATAATTTGGGGGGCCGGCAGGTGATGTGATTAAGGCACTAGACTCCTGCATGTTTGACCATGATTCAAGCCCTGGACTCTGGGCATGTGTGTGTGTATGCCCAAAATCCCAAGGGGAGAGTGGAGGCGAAGGGATTGTGGTGTGACCATCCTCCCTGGGTGGAAGTGGGGGGTGATTTCTTACTTTCCCTTTCTCTGTTTTTCTCTTGTGAGTGCACACACCCTATCACAAAAACTTTTTTTTTTTAAAAGAAAAAAGTGTAGAGTTTGGTAGTTTTTAACTTATTTGCGGAGTTGCTGTTTTAAATTGAGATATGTCTCTTTTTATTATTGAATTATATAAGTACTTTATACAATATGTTCTGTATACCAGTTCTTCATCAAATATATGATTTGTAAGTATTTTCTCCCATTCTGGGGATTATCTTTTAACTTTCTTGATTGTGTCTTTTGAAGCAAAAAAGTTTTTCATTTTTATAAAGCCCAACTTTATGTTTTCTTTTGTCACTCGTTCTTGTAGTGTCACATCTAGGAAACCAGTGCTTAATCCAAAGTCACAAATAGTTACTCCTATATGTTCTCCTAAGAGTTGTATAGTTTTAGATTTTACTTTTTTAAAAAGAATTATTTTATTTTACTTTATTTATTTATTTTAATTTGACCAGAGAGGAACAGAGCAAAAGAGAGAGAGAGAGAGAGAGAGACAGAGACAGAGAGAGAAAGTCAGAAAGCAAGCCACCAGGTCCAGGACTTGAACCATGGTCAGCCATGTGGGAGTCCAGCGCCCTCAACTACCACACCGCCTGCCAGCCTCTAGATCTTACATTTAATATCTATTTCATATGTCTGTCCTTATGTCAGTACCACACTGTCTTGGTTACTGATCATAGTAAATTTTGAAATCATAAAGTATGAGCCCTTCAACTTTGTTCTTCTGTTACAAGATTATTTTGGCCACTCTGAATCTCTTGTATCTATTTCCGTATGAATTTTAAGATCAGCTTTTCAATTTCTGGAAGGAAAAATACCAGCTGGAATTTTAATAGGAACTGCTTTGGATCTATAGATAACTTTGTTAGTATTGCCATTTAATAATACAGAATCTTCTAATCCATGAACATGAGATTACATGTATCTAGATTTTCTTTATTTCAACAATGTTTTATAGTTTTCAGTTATCTTGTATATCTTTTGTTAAATGTATTCCTGGGTTCATCTCATGGCCTGGCGGTTGAGGTGGCTAGATCCTACATGGGTAATATGCCTTTTGATTCTTGGACCCAACAGCTGGGTAACATGCCAGGCACAAGTGTGTGGGTGATCAAAATCTCAAAAGGAGGGAGAAATGGAAGAGAGGGGATTGCAGTATAATCACGTTCCATGGGATGTGCTTTCGTGCATCCCTAACCCATCTCAGAGAGCACATGAGCCCTTAGGCAAATTTTTTTAAAAATGTCTTCCCAGACATTTTATTCTTTTGTAATAAAATTGGTTTTCATTACACTTTTTAATTGTTCATTCCTAACATATGGAGATACAATTAATTTTTGTATATTGATCTCGTATTATGTTACCTTGCTGAACTTGCTAGTTTTAGTAGTTGTGTGCTTGTGTTGTATATAAATGATGATGTCATCTGTTCATAGTGATAACTTTACTCCTTTCTTCTCAATCTGGTCACCTTTGATTTCGTTTTCTTGCTTCATTGATTAGTTTCTTAAGTTTTGGTCAATTATATTTGTCTAAACAGTTGTCTGTCTCTCTTGTTTCCAGATATTAGCACAAGACTTATATAGTTTATTTTCCCTTAAAAACTATTTCGTGTGATATTAATCTAGTTGTTTTCTTTTACTTACTACATTCTTATTATATCTCAGGTGCATAGAATTGAATAAAAAAGTGTCTTCACTCATGACAAGCTGTGATTATTAGTTCATGTGTGGCTCACACTTACTCATTTGTTTAGTTGATTATTATAAATAATGTGGTACGTATCCATGAAACTACTTTCTAAAACAAAAGATCAAATCTAAACAGTAATCCACATCAAGCCATTTGGCTCCCTTACCTCCCCTCACCTGAGGGCAACAATCATCCTGACTCCAAAATCTTTGTTCATTCATTGCTTTTCTCCATGTGTAATTTTAGTGTGTTTGTGTATGTGTATTTATTAAAAATAACATTTAATTTTGGTTTTTATTAAAAGACAATACTGCTGTATGTAACTTTAGGAGTTCATTTTTCCACTTCATATAAATTTGTTATGACTTCTCCCTATTTTGCCAATCATTGTAGTTCACTCATTTTGATTGCTGTATACCCACTTTATCCACTTTATGGATGGGTATTTGGATTGTTTCTTGGTGTTTGCTGTTGTAATAGTACTGCTAAGTGTATTCTTAAGACATCTCCTTTTGTGCATGTGGAAGAAACTTGGATTGCAGTGTCCTAAGATATCTGAAAGTTCAATATTAGGAGCTAATGCCCAAGTGTTCTTTCAACTGGTTTCACCAGTTTACATTCACATCGGATTCTGTGGATCAACACCCTCTCCAACATTCGATATTGGCAGACTTTAAAGTTTTCAGGTGAAATAGATGTAAGGCTACCTCCTTGTGGCCTTTCTTTGTATTTCTTTGATTGTAAGTGAATGTTGAACACCTTCGCTTGCGTTTATGTAGCTGTTTACATTTTCTCACTTTGGAAAGCCTGTTTATATTTTACATGCATATTTCTAATGAGTTTCCAGGTTTTGTTACTGAATTTTAGGAAATATTTATATAATCTGATATTAAACCGTTTCCATTGTTGAATTGCAGAATATCTCTTCCTGGTTTTCAATTTGTATTTTTGTGTTTTGAAAATGTCTTTTAATTAACAGCAGTTTTTCATTTTAATAGAGTCAAATCGATTGTTTACAATGAATCTTTAACTTTTGTGTCTTAATTAATAAAGTTACTTCAAGGACTAAAAGATACTCACCTGTATCTTATCTTAGAGTTCAAGGATATATAACAATTTCTTATACCGCCCAGCATTTCTTTTAAGAAAAGGAATTATAAGGTAGAGATTCAACGTTATCTTTTCCCATAGAAATAACCATTTTTCCCAACTCAACCCTTTAGGTGCCTGCTGACCTGATATGCCAGCCCTTCCCATGTGGTACATGAGAAGGACACAACATAAGCAAGGAAATAAATGTGAATATCTGGGAAAGAACATGCCAGGCAGAAGAACAAGCACATACAAAGGTCTTAATGTACTGGGTTGTTGGAAAAGTCATGACATATCTTTTCTATGTTTTTCTATACAAAAACATGTCCTGACTTTTCTGACAACCCAACAGGCAGGTGACTGATGTGTTAAGGAATGTCAGGGAAGTCAGAGTTCCTAGAATGCTGTGATGGAGCAGGAAAGTGTTAGGAAACGAGGACAGAGACACTGGATCAGACTGTGTAGAGCCTTTAGACCGCTGTAAAGGCTCAGTTTTCACTCTGATTTAGGTATCCCCTGATGGCTTTTGAGCAAAGGAGTGATGGGATCTGATTTAGGTTTTTGGATGATCATTTGACTATTGTGTTGAGACTGCATCATAAGGATCAAGGTATAAAGCAGGGGGATGTGATGGGAGTCCATTACTGTACTCCAGATGAGATGATGGTGTCTCAGACAGAGTGGTATTGGGAGAGGTGATAAGTGAGTCTGGATATATGTTGAAGCTAGACCAGCAGGATTTGCTGGCAGACTGGATGTTGCTTAGGAGGAGAAAAGATTCAGAGAAGCAACTGGAAACATGGAGCATCCGTTAATAACATTGTTGAAGAATTTGGGTATCAGTTTATACGATGTCTTCTTTATAAGACCTTTGAAAGAAATTTGAATCTTAGTATTTTGAAATGGTTGCACATCTTCCAAGAATTTGTTTTATCAGAAGGGTACTGCAGCCTACATGATGGACTGCATTGGAGAACCACATTTGTGCCTTTTGTTTATATCATATACTACCAAAAATGAAATGTAGAGGGCAGTAGTAATTTGTTAAAGTTGTTGAAGTGCAAAGTTAGAACATCGTTTGGAACTACAAGTAAATTTGGTTTTGAGTGCCTGCTGAATTTCTGTAATTCTGTGTCATCCATTCAATAACATTTCAGTGAATATGCCTTACGTGCCAGGTACTGGTCTGGGCACTGGATACGTTAATTAATGAGCCCTGCCATCTGAGAACATGCATCCTTGTGTGTGGCGCACATACAGGGCGGGGAGAAAAGCACATGTGGAGGATTAGTGAGTTATATATAAAAAATACTAGAAGATAAAATAGTCTATGGGGAAAAAAAAAAGTCTAACCTGACAAAGGATCCTGGAATAACAGGAGCATGGGGGTTGCCAATAGATAGAGGAATCTAGATGGGCCACGTTGACAAAAAAGACATGGGAGCAAAGACTTGAAGGTGTGAATTATGTGGTTGACTAATGGAAGTGCATTCTGTCTGAGGGAACAGCAAGTTAAGGGCCTGACGTCATCAGAGCATTTCTGGCATGTATGAGGGTAGAGCGATAATGGATTTAGACCTTATAGACTATTGTTAGCACTTGAGCTTTTTCTCTGCAGGAAAGGGGGCGCCATCGCTGAGTTTCAAGAATGACATGATTTGACTCACGTTTTAAAAGGATCACTGGCTATTACATGTAACTTTCAAAGGAGTTGACAAGTATTTCTGCAATTTTAGGTACACTACAGCAAATACTGACACCGAAGAGCAGAGTTTTCCAATCCCTAAGGCATTTAACACACATACAGAGGAATTAACTTTAGATGTTCTTCTGCAGAAGGCAGATCACTTACGTGTGAATGAGAATGGCAAAGTGGAGAGTTTTGAACTACTTTGTGACCACAAGGAAAAGGTAAGAGATTCATGACAATAGCACGTTAATGTATTTTTTAATTTTTGGTTTTAACTAATGTCTTCTGCACATTATGACCTTAATAATTGTGTTATCACGCTTCTCAGAGATAAATGATTGATGTAAAGTTTTCCTCATTATAAAATGACTAAAATTTTAAAAACTTAAATATAGGAATTTATTACTCTAAAGTTATAAAACTGAGAATAAGAGCTATAATTATACGGATTTACTTTATTTTTTTATTGATTTTTATATTTAATACATATTTTTTAACAGGTAAAACATTCTTGTAAGGCGTGTAGTATTGCTTCTCTAGGAAATGAAAGAACTACATTTTAGGTTTTATATATAGTTATCAGTATAACAGCTATCAGTATTTAAAGCGTATATGTGGTCATTCTGCAATTTTTTTATCTTGGACTTTAATTGAGAAAGCCTATCCCTCCTACCACCACACTAAAAAAAAAAAAAAAAGATTTGCAATCTCTCCTATGAGCAGTTCAAGTCTAATCTTTGTCTAACACTTAGCAACTCTAAAGACTTTGTCTAAAACTTATAAAAATCTCCAGAATTATATTTAGGTGATTCAGGTAAAAATGTGACTGCTCTTTTGAATATACACAATTCATTTTCCAGGTATGATCCAATATACTCATTAAACTATTGTATTTATAGTCAATAACTTAGAAAGGAGAATACAAAGATACCATAACCCAGAGAGAACTTACAGGTTCTGGCACCTAGCAGTTCTCTCTTCTACATAAATAGAGTTAATGTCTGGGTAATAGTAATTGGTTTTAACGACAAAATGTGACAGATCACTTTTCTTACAGGTCACCTGTAAATATTGAGATATATACACGCTTAAATCCAGTCATCTGCAAGTAGTGGTTTTCTTGCCTCATTTTAAAAGAGTTTCAGTGGAAGACAATTCTAGTTTAGACAAGTTACTGAGTTACTCTAATGTGCAATTCTATTTTTTCAGTTTAGAGATGAAATAGAGTTTATATGGCGGTTTACTCGTGCGTATGGAGACATGTATGAGTTATCTACAAACACACAAGAAAGGAAACATTATGCTAATGTTGGTAAGCACTTGGTAAAGATTGCCTTTTTTTTTTTTTTTTTTTTTGCCATAGGGCATGTGTGTAGGCTGGAGAGAGACAGGGAATGGGAAAGTGAGAAATCACCCCCAGAGAGGATGACTATACCACAATCCCTTCTCCTCCATACTGCTCTCTGGATTTTGGGGGCACACATGCATATGCACCCAGCATGACTTTCAAGCTGCCAGGTCTGAGATTTAACCTCAGTTGGCCATATGGGAGTCCAACATCTTATCCACCATACCTGTTGACCCCCAAATTGGTTATTCTTTTTTTTCTTTTCCTTTTCCTTCTGGAGATTTTTGCTATAAGGGCACATGCGTTGCCAGAGAGACAGAAAGCAAGAAATTATACCCTCCTCCCCAGGGAAATGGCCATGCTGCATCCCTTCTACTTTATTCTCCCCTTGGTAGCTTGAGCATGCAAACACATGTGCTTGGCATGAGTTTTAAGTTTCTAGGTCTGGCACTTGAACTATGATCAACTATGTGGAAGTCCAGCAATGTAACTGTTATGCCATCTGCTGGTCCCAAAATGGGTTATTCTTAAGTAACAATTATGTTCTATAACACACTACCTGTTCGTTTTAATTAATGCTAACTAGTCTTTTCTTATGACAAATGTATATGTTCTTTACAAATATTTGAGCATATTCGAATAGGCAACTAAACAACCTTGAATTTTTTTTTTTTTTTTGAGAGAGGTTTTCACTATAGGGCGCGTGTGCTCGCCAGATAGACAGAGAGAGACAGAAAGCGAGAAATCACCCCCCAGGGGTGGATGGCCACGCTGCGATCCCTTCTCCTCCATTCTCCTCTTGGAATCCTGGGCACGCACACACAGGCACCCGGCATGGGTTTTAAGCCACCAGGTCCGGGACGCAAACCGCAGTTGACTACGTGGGAGTCCAGCGACATAACCATTAATGCCAACTGCTGGTCCCCCTTTTTTTTTTTAGAGAGAGAAATTTTGCTCTAGGGTGCATGCACTCGCCAGACCCATGACCCAAGCGCTTCTCCTCCATTCTCTTGAGATCTTGGGCATGCATGCACACATGTCCAGTGTTAGTTTTAAGCTGTTGGGTCTGGGACTCGAACCACGGTGGATTGCATGGGAGTCCAATAACATAACATTATGCCACCTGCTGGTCCCTCAAATATAATCTTTTAAAGTTTAAAAAGTCACAGAAAGAGAAGATATTAAATAGTAGTGATTGAGAAACAGTAATCACAGAAGAACATTATCTTCCGCAATAATCTACCACATACTGAAATAACCCAACCTTTACTTCCTCTAATGTAGGACTCTGGGCACCTCAAAGAAATAAGCTCTCAGACATAAGTAATATTATTTTTACTGTATTTTAATGAAACAAAGTTAACCTTGAGTTGATTATTGTTTAACCTAAGTACATGGTGGTTCATCTACGCTTTTTTGTACATTTTTGAAATTTTCCAAAACAGCAATAACAAAATGGCTAAATGTCAAACTGTTGTTGTAACTCACCTTGACAATTACTCTGTGTCAAAGTGCCTTCTGAAAAGCCTGTAACTACCATATTTCTGAGCATCATCTAAGTCATTTGATACCAAACCTCCTTTAATTCTTATTTTATTCCAAAGTCTTCTCTTTCCCAGGCTTTTCTTCTCTACAGTAGCATGAGGAAGAAACAAGAATGATCTGCTCCAAGTCTAATTCCCTGTCTTTCTGGGGTTTTGTTTTGTTTTGTTTTTTCCAACCAGGAAGTATTGTCAAACTCTTTGTAATTATATATTTATTCTACCTGGAGATTTCTTTGCTGAAGGACCTTTGTGCTTTGATTTTCTCCCAGTGGGAGGAAGGTGAGAGGACTTCTTCCTCTTTTTCTTTACATACTCATCATCAACTTTGAGGCCAGTTTTTTTCTGCCGTAATCCACTTTGTAGACCATATACAAAGTAGATTTTTAGAGAAGAGATTTATCAACTTGAAGGCAGATAAGAATCTTATCAAAGAGAACAAAGGGATTTATTTTCATATCTATTGAGGAAACCAAAGTATATCCGTGTAACCTGTTCCAACATTCAGCAGTAGGAAGTACATTCCTTTCTTCAGGACCTGCCTTGCCCTGGGCATTATATTAGCAGGTAGGAATGAGATGGCAAACTAGGCATGTTCTCAGATCCAGGGGAGTGTATGGCTTTGTAGAAGAGGCAGTATTATTCAAATAATCATTCATATAAACACACCAACTAAGGGGCCAGCAGGTGGCATGGTGGTTGGTGCACTGGACTCCCAACTGTGGTTCAAGATCTGGAACCTGGTGGCCTGCTTTCTCACTTTCTCTTTCTCTCTCTCTGGTCAGTTTAAAAAATAAATAATAATAACAAGTATAAATAAATAAATAAATCTTTTTTAAAATGAGCTATTATTTAAAAGAAAAGTACAAAATGTTAAGGGAATATGTAACAGAAAAAGAGGGTGTGATGCCAGGGAATGGATATTAATGCAGAGAAGTTTTACTTACAGAAGTAAATTTTCCTTAAGTAAAAATCTCTTTGACTCTCTACCTTAAAATGGTTTATACTGGATCAGACCCGTTCAAACTGGCTGATGGTTCTGACCAGTTCAAACTGGCTCAGACTGGTTCATACTGGCTCAGACAGCTTCTGATCAGCTCAGACCAGTTCTGACAGTTCAGATGGCTCAGACAGGTTCTGATTGGTTCAGATCAGTTTAGACCTTTTCATACTGGCTTAGACCTGTTTAGACCAGCTAAGACCGACTCCAGCCAATTTGCACTAGCTCAGGTCGGTTCCAATGGGCTCTGATCCATTCAAATCAGCTCAGACCAACTCTAATCAGTTTCAGATAAGCCCAGAACAGTTCATACTGGCCTGGACTGGTTCAGAAAGGTTCAAACCAGTTCAGACTGGTTCCAGTCTGGCTTGGACCAGTTTTAACTGGTCCCTTACCAACTCTGACTGGTTTAGACCAGTTCAGAACAGATTGGAACAGATCTCACTAGTTCAGACTGACTTGGACCAGATCAGACAGATTCAGACCAACTTGGACTAGTTTTGACCAGTTCAGACCAGCTCGGATCAATTCAGACTGGCTCAGACCAGTTCAGACTGGTTCAGACTATATCTGACCAGTTCAGACTGACTCAAACCTCTTTTGACTGGTTCTGACTGGTTCAAACCGGTTTTGGCTGGTTCAGGCTATCTTGGACTGGTTTTGACTAGTGCAGACTGGTTTTGACTGGTTCTGACTGGCTCAGACTGGCTCATGCTGGGTTTGACCTGTTTTTGACCAGTTTAGACCAACTCAGACCAGTTTTGACAAGTTCAGACCAACTTAGACTAGTTTTGTCTGGTTCAGACTGGCTCAGTCCGGTTTTGACCTGTTCAGACTGGTTCAGATGAGTTCTGACCTGTTTTGACTGGTTCAGATCACTTTTGACTGGTTCAGATTAGCTCAGACTGGTTTTGACCAGTTCATACTGGCTTAGACTGGTTGAGACTAGCTCAGCTCAGTTCTGACCTGTTCAGACCCAACTCAGACCAGTTTTGGCTGGTTCAGACTGGCTCAGACTGTTTTGACCAGTTCAGACATGCTCAGGCTGATTTTGACTGACTTAGATTGGTTCAGACTGGTTTTCAACTGGGGTTGAAATTGGCTCAGACCAGTTTTTGCCTGTTCAGACTGACTCAGACTGGTTTTGAGTCTCAGACCAGGTTAGACTGGTTTTGACTGGCTCTGACTGGTCCTTATTGGCTCAGACCAGTTCAAACTGGCTCAGACCAGTTTCTGACTGGTTAAGACTGGCTCAGACCAGTTTTGGCTAATTCAGACTGGTTCAGACTGGTTTTGACTGGCTCAGACTGGACCAGTTCAGACTGACTCAGACCAGGTTTAATAAATTTAGACCAATTCCGACTGGTTTTGGCTGTTTCAGACTGGCTTAGACTGGTTTGGGCTGGTTCAGACTGATTTTGACTGGTTCAGACTGGCTCAGGCCTGTTTATACTGGCTTAGACTGGATTTGGCTATTGCAGACTGGTTCAGGCCAGTTTGGGCTGGTTCAAACTGACTCAGGACAGTTTTAACTGATTCTGACTGACTCAGATCAGTTTAAACCAGTTCATACTGGCTTGGACCTGTTCAAACCAGCTCAGATAACTTCCAACCAGTTCATACTTGCTCAGACCAATTCCTATTGGTTCAGACTGGTTCTGATCTATTCCAACCAGCTCAGAGCAGTTCATACTAACTCCAGCCTTTTCATACTAGCTCGGGCTTGTTCCAACCACCTTAGACTAGTTCAAACCAGTTCTGGCCAATTCAGAATGGTTCCAACTGGTCAAGACCAATTCTAACCCATTGAGACCTGTTCATACTGTCTCAGAGCCACTCAGAACCAGCATGAACATTTCATAACTGTTCTGAATAGGCATATACAACAAGTAGAACCAGTTCACGTCAGTATAAATTGGTTGGAACCAATTGAATTGGTCAGAACCAATCTGACCTAGTTTGAGCCAATTGGTACCAATTTGAGTCAGTATGAACCAGTAGGAACTGGTCTTGATGGGTGTGTAATGTTCAGAATTGGTTGGAACCACTCAAAAACAGTGTGAAGTAGTCTGAACCAGTTCAAAACCATCCTGAACTGGTATGAACATGTCTGAGCCAGTATGAACAGGATTGAACCATTCAGAACAGTGATGAGTCAGATGAACTGGTTAGATTCAGTATGAGCCAGTCTGAACTGGCCAAAAGCAGCCTGGAACAGTCATGAACTGGCTTAAGCTGGCATGAATCAGCCTGCATGGGTTTGGACCAATCTGATCCAGGATGAACTGGTCAGAACGAGCCTGAAGAGGTATGAACTAGTCATGAATTAGTATAAACTGGCCAGAACCAATCTGAACCTTCATGAACTAGTCTGAACCAATATAAACTAGGCTGGACCAGTATGAGCCAGTTGGTATGAGCATGAACTGGTCAGAACTAGCATGGACTGCTCAGAACTGTTAGAAATGGGTTAGAGGTGGTATGAATGGGAATAAATAGGTTGAGAGAGCATGAATCTGTGTAAAACAGGGCTGGAATGAAGTGGTGTAAACCAATTCGAACTGATTGGGAACAGCCAGAACTAGTTTAAAACAACGTAAATCGATCAGAACTGGTCAGAGTCAGCATGAGGAGCAAAGCAGTTGGAACTTCTCTAACTGGTTAACTAGCTAGCCCTCTTAGCCCTCTAACTGGTTAACTTGCTTCCTAATCAGTTCTCTTACAAGTAAACTAGCCCCTAACTAGTCTTCTAATTAGTTAACTAGTACAGCAATAAGTAGAACTAGTCACCCTAACTAGTTAACATGTAGGCCATCTGGTTGTCCTAACCAGTTAACTAGCCAGAAAACTAGCCCCATAACTAATTATCAAACTAGTTAAGTACTCAGCCTCCAGCTAGTCAACTAACTTTCTAACTAGCCCTCTAACTGCTTAGCATGACCTAAAAGTAGTTAACTAGTTCTCTAACCAGCCATCTAACCAATTCAGTATAACTGGATCCAACCAGTTCATACTGACTCAGACTGGTTATGACTCAGTCCTAATTACCACCAGTTCAATACTGGGTTAGACCAGCTCAGACTAGAAAACTAGTCCTCTAATGCATTAACTAGTACTCCAAGCACGTGACTAGCTAGACAACTAGTCCTCTAACTAGTTACCCAGCTCTCTGATCAGTTAACTAGATAGCTAGTTATATAACCAGTAAACTAGTCGTATAATGTGTTAACTAGTGGCTTTAACCAGTTATCTAACTGGGTAAACATTGGCTAGTTAACTAGTCCTATAGTCCTCCAGCCAGTTATGTAGTCTAAGTGATTAACTAGCCCTCTCTTTGGTCCTCTAACTAGATTATTGGTTCTGTAGCAGAACCAGTATAAACCAGTGAGAAATGCATGAGCTGGTACGTACTGGTCAGAGCAAGTATGAACCAGTTAGAACTGGTAATGAGCCAGTCAGAACTGGTAGAAATGGGTTGGAACCACCTAGAACCAGAATAATCAATAATAACCAGCATGGACCAGTATAAGCCCATTGGAATTGGTACAAACCAATTGGAACTAGCCAGAGCCAGTTTAACTAAGTCATAGCTGCCATGAACCAACATATACCAGTCAGAACCAGCATGAACCAGAATAAGCCAGAACAAGCATTAACTGGCATAAACTGACCAGAACCAGTATGAACTATCATGAAGTAGCTAACCATCCAACTAATGAACTAACAAACTAGGCAACTAACTAGTTAGCAAATTACTTAGAAACCAACCAGCTAACTGGCTATCTAGCTAACTATTAAAAAAAGACTAACCAGGGAACCAGCAGTTAGCGTAATGGCTGTGTCGCTGGACTCCCACATAGTCGACCGCGGTTCGTGTCCCGGACCCGGTGGCTTAAAACTCACGCCGGGCACGTGTGCGTGCGTGCCCAGGATCCCGAGAGGAGAATGGAGGAGAAGGGATTGCGGCGTGACCATCCCCCCCCGGGGGGTGCTTTCTCGCGTTAGAACTGGTAATGAGCCAGTCAGAACTGGTAGAAATGGGTTGGAACCACCTAGAACCAGAATAATCAATAATAACCAGCATGGACCAGTATAAGCCCATTGGAATTGGTACAAACCAATTGGAACTAGCCAGAGCCAGTTTAACTAAGTCATAGCTGCCATGAACCAACATATACCAGTCAGAACCAGCATGAACCAGAATAAGCCAGAACAAGCATTAACTGGCATAAACTGACCAGAACCAGTATGAACTATCATGAAGTAGCTAACCATCCAACTAATGAACTAACAAACTAGGCAACTAACTAGTTAGCAAATTACTTAGAAACCAACCAGCTAACTGGCTATCTAGCTAACTATTAAAAAAAGACTAACCAGATAACTAGCTAACCAACTAACCAGCTAGCTAAAAATTAGAAAACTAATTAGCTAGCCAATTACTTAGATAATTAGCTTACTAACTAGACAACTAACAGGCTAACCAGTAAACAAGCTTACCAACTAACCAACTAATTAGCTAATTGACTTACTAACAAGTCAACTACCTAGAAAACAGTCTAACCAGAAAACTAACCAGCTAACAAAACTAACCAAAACCTAGCTAACTATCTGAATATCCACCTAGTTAGCCAACCAATCAGTTAAATAATCAACTAATAAACTAAACAACTTGCTAGCTAGTTAGTTAGCTACCAGCTAAGTAGTAGTAGACCAGCTAGCTAATTCTCTAGCTAGCCAAATAACTAGCAAACTAACCAGCTCACCAGCCAAAAAAAAAAAAAAATTAGGCAATTTACTAGTTGACTAACTAACTGGTTAACTGATTAGTTATCTGGTTACATGGCCAGTTAAGAGATTAATTAACTATCTAACTGGTTAGCTGGTGAGTGGGTCGGCTAGTCTAGTTAGCTGGTTTGATGACTAGTTATCAATTCACCTAGCTAATTGGCTGGTTGATGACTAGTAAACTAGTTAGAGAACCAGAAAAATAGTTTATTGGTTAAGGCAAGTTAATAGCATGGAGGTTTAGTTAGAAGACTACTTATGTGGCTAGTTAACAGGTTATGATGACAAACCAGTGAGAGGACTAGTTAATCTATAGGACTAGTCAGAGGACTGGTTAGAGAACTAGTTAGCTCATCACACAATTAGAGGACAAGTTAACTCTTTAGAGGACAAGTAAAAGTACTAGTTAGAATACTAGTCATATAATCAGAGGTCTAGTTATCTAGTTAACCATTAGGGTGACTCATTATCTAGTTAGGACTAGTTAATTGGAGGATTCCTTATCTAGTTAACTGGAGGATTCCTTATCTAGTCAGGGTGACTAGTTAACTGGTTAGAGGACTAATTAGAGGACTAATCAGATAGCTATTTAGAGGACTAGTTAACTGAATCATTCAGAACCAGTGTGACCAATATGAGCCAGTCTGAACTGGTATGAACTAGTTATCTAGCTAGTTAACTGGTTAGAGGACTAGTTGACTGCTTTGAGGATAGCCAGTTGGATGATCATTTTTAAGATTAGTTAATTAGCAGTTTCACCAGTTTGAGGACTACTTATCTAGCTGGTTAACTGGTTAGGTGACTAGTTTGTTGGTTAGCTAGTTAGGTAGCTTATTAGCCAGTAGTTATTTTCTTAGTTTACTAGTTTGTTGGTTAGCTAGCCAAAATAGTATGCTAATTAATTACCTAAGTAGTTGGTTTTCTAGTTAGTTGATGCGTTAGGCAGTTATTTGACTTGGCAGCTTGTTAGCTTGTAAATAACTAATCAGTTAGCCAACAAACTGGTCAGCTAATCAGGAAGAAAAGCACTTCTTACTCACTTGACCAGCTAATTAGTCAGCAAACCAACTAACTAGTGAACTAACTAGTAAAGCAGCCAAGTAGACACTTTTTATTATTATTTTTAGTTGCATTCAGTTAAAAATTGCTAACTCTTTCTATATTTGTCCACAATGTAATATCAGTTATTATTAAATAGTTCACTTTTTAACTTTCCCAATTTATGTAGATTTCTATACAGGGTAGTTACTATACAGGATATTTCTACACAGGATAGTTTCTTGATATATAGTGCCACCTTAAAAATCAGCAAATAGGAAAATGGTTTTAGAATGAAAGATCTTTATTTATGAAGATTACCTGAAGCACTTAATTAGAAAGGTATTTTGTGTATCACTGGGTAATGTCTCCAAAGTGAAATCACAATAATAATAAAGAAAAGAATGAAAAAGAAAGTATCAATAAGATGACCCTTTTGAGAAAGATTCTCAGAATGTGGGTTTTTTTTCTTTGCAAGCATTTTTATTTTTCAAGCCATTAGACAAACCCCTATTCAACATAATTATTACATTATTAAAAGTTACTCTAGGACAAAGTAGGGTAATTTGGGGGAACTATTTATGGCACTGATCATGTTCATTATCATGCATGACTAGATAAGAATTTGGCAAACCTGCCCTTATTCCTCTAGACAGAGTTACTCTGCTGTGCTCTCTCTTCATCTTGCTCTTATTGTTTGCAGTAACTTATTTGTTTATATATCCAATTTATTTATTTACTGTACCGTGAGCCTTTGGAGATCAAAGACTTCATCTTATTTGTCTTACGTGATACATTTATTCCCTGAAACTCACACAATATTACACTTAGTAGGCACTCAGTACATGTTGTTTGAATTGATTACAAAAAAAAAAAAATTTCTATCATACTGGGGTTTTTTTTTTTTTTTAGAGATTTTTTGCCATAGCGCGTGTGAGCTCACCAGAAGGACAGAGAGAGACAGAGAGACAGAAAGCGAGAAATCACCCCCCAGCGGGGTTAGTCACGCCACAATCCCTTCTCCTCCATTCTCCTCTCGGGATCTTGGGCATGCACACACATGCACCCGGCATGAGTTTAAGCCACTGAGTATGGGACTCAAACCACAGTCAATTACATGGGAGTCCAGCGACATAGCCGTTATGCTAACTGCTGGTCCCTCTATTACACTTTTAAGTAATGATTGAATGGTTTTTTTCTTGAATCTGGTTTCAACTGTTAGCACTTGGGCCTCAGACTTGAACATGTATCAGAATTATTGGAGATTCATCAGAACCGAGATGACGATTGAGGAGGTCTCCCTTGTGGTTGAAAATCTGCGTTCTAACAAGTTTCCAGGCAATGCTGATGCTTCTGATCTTGAGACTACACTTTAGGAACCATCAACTTGATTCAGGAAATTCCCTCCTACCCCATCACGTGAAGGAACTAAGTGTGAGTGCTTTTGTCTTTCAGGAAAAACTTTAGGTGAAAGAGCTATTGCTAGAGCACCTACGAATGGATATTGTCATCTGTGGTAAGTATGCAGATTGTACAGTCTTTTATATTCTCCTATGCCTCTTTATAAATTTCAGTGGATTTTGAAAAATATTATTGACCCATTTAACCCATCAGTCACTGAAAAATATATTTAGGAGCCAGCGGGTAGCATGGTGGTTAAGGTGGCTGAGTCCCACATGGCTGATGCACAAGTTGAGTCCCAGACCCAGCAGCTTGAAAAACTTGCCAGGAGTGTGAGTATACATGCCCAAAATGCCCAAAGGAAGGAGAAGTGTGGTGTGATCATTCTCCATGAAAGGTGCTATCTCACTTTCCCTCTCTTTCTCTCTGTCTCTCTCCTGTGACTGCACTCACCCTCTGGCAAAATGTTAGTAAAGGAAAGAAAGGAAGGAAGAACAGAAAGAAAGAAGGAAAGAAACAGAGAAAGAAGGGAGAAAAATGTGTTTAGTAGTGGGCTAGCCCGTGAAACACTGTGCAGAGGGAGCCAGATCCGACATAGTTGCATGCAAGTGCTTACCCTGCTGACTTGAAAATGTACCAGACACATATCTCTGTGCTCAGGATACTGATGGAAAGGAGAAATGGAGGGAAAAAGGATTGCAGCAGTGTGACCAATCCTGTTGGAGTACAGTTTTCCTCTTTCTTCAGTGCACATGTGTACACGCCTGCATGTAACTTCTGGCAAAAAAAAAAGGGGGGGTTAATTAAACACACACACAAGTAACTGTTTTGTCCTATTTGTCCTCACAAATTTTTCATTATGCATACTTTAAGTATATTTAAGGTAAACTTTCATCGAAGATTTTCTAAATGAACCTACCAACCTAATGGCTTTGAAGACAATAAACTGTAATTTAATCTGGTTTAATATAACATTTTGTTTGAAAACAAATAATAAAATGATGTCATGTTTCAAAATGTAGGAATGTAGAAAAATGGGGCCAGCATGTAGCATAGTGGTTAAGGCACTGAATCTCCACCTAGTCAACTGCAGTGTAAGTCTCAGACCCAGAAGCTTGCACCTCAAGCTGGGCACATGTGTGCCCAAAATCCCGAGAGGAGAATGAAAGAGAAGGGATTATGACGTGGTTAACCCACTGGGGGAGTGATTTCTCACTTTCTGTCTCTCTGGTGAGCACACGTGCCCTATAACAAAACTCTCTTGGAAAAAAAAAAGGAAAAACGCTTCAGAGAATAAAAGCACATCAAGCCATGTTTTTGGTACCGTGATGAGTATACAAATGGCACAGGTCAAGGAAAAGCCTTTTTGTACAATATGGAAGCAAAAACAAAGGTCATTTCTTTGTGAGAGTTTAGAAAGTGAATGTCCTTGGGGCAAAAAAAAACCCTCTTTATTTTGTTTTAGATCCTTTGTATGTCTAGAATTATAAAACACAAATAAGAAATATATTGTTTCGAGTTAATATTCTTCGTTCATCTGTAGTTGTGCTTCACAATGTTTTTTTTAGTTCCTTAGGATTTTCTCTGCCTACCAACATAGGTAGGAACCTTAGATACTAGAAAGATACAGTAATTGATTAATTTTTTACCCTTTCCTCAACCCTGCGTTCCCCGAAATCCACCCCTTTTAGGGGCTGTTATGCTCCTCTCGGGGTAACTGTGGATAAAATGTATCTCTCTCTTACTGTCTCTCTCTTAAGATGGCCCCCTTTCTGCAGGTTCACATTTGTCCCACAGGATGCTAATTTTTGCCTCAATAAAACCTGAAGTACAACCCACTTTCTCAGAAGAGACCTGTTTCTTCACTCTGTCATCAGCAGGGGGAGCTCAGCTCACAAACTGCAACTGAAAACATTTTGTGTACCCTCTAAGCTATAAAGGTCACATGCCAAAATATGAATTGGCCTTTTGAAGACACCCTCACTTGGCATAAGATGAAATGCAAACCTACCCTCTGCCCTCTCATGAAAAGGTGGGAGATAGAGCCCATAGCACCCTAACCCTATGGAAATCCTCATTTCCAGTCTCTTCCTCCATCCAGACAATTCTCTACCTTCTCTTATGTAACCTGGAGACTGGTGAAAAGCTAAGGCTGGAGAAACTGAATCTTTTTCTTAGCATGCCAAGCATGGACAGTAGACCTTCTTGCTTTTGAAATTGGAGTGCCTAATAAATATTGTTCTATCTGCTTGATACTACTGCCAGAAATCTGGGAGAAAGGTCATTTTGCTGTTAACATTCTGGTACAGATTTTTAGATCACCTGCCTAGGATATAAGGGTCTTGGCTGTTATTCTTGGAGCTATTACCGACATCGTACAATTCACATAATGCTAATACTCATAAATTAGCTAGGTATGTGTTAAGGTACTTCTCTTGCACTTCAGTAGTGACTGTAATGACGTGTGCTGGTCAGGTCATACTCATCCTCTTCATCCCCTTGGCTGTTGGAGGTATTTAGGAGCTGGTTAGCCAGATTAGAATGCAGAAAGAGTCCTGCTCTTGACCTTGGCATTGTTGTCATCCCCTGCCTTCTACTCCATCTCCTCCCTATTGCTCTTCCTCATCCTCTCCTTTCTTCTTCCTTCTCACAAACATGCATCTGCACCCATGAAGATTCTTATTTAGAAAGGTACACTTGACGCTTGATAACATTTGATCACTTTAAGGACATTTATCAATGTGAATTTCCAAATTTTCATAGAGGAGCAATGTTGAATGTTCCCTGGGGGCATCACAAGGACCTTGACATCCATTTGAGAGGACAGATTATGCTGAACACTACCTACGTGAGTTGCCAAGTCTGACTTTCACTACTCTACCTTCTCCTTTGTTCATCTTTTCTCACTTTCTAGTATAAACTGCTTTGTTTAAAACCATGAGAGTTTTAACCCAACATTAAATCATATCAAGACACATAGAGAAATGACTCAGTTGTGTTTCACATGATTTCTTATTTAGCATCAGTTTCTTTTTTACTTAAAAAATGTTAAAATCTGGGCCCAGCAGATGGCATGATGGTTATATCACTGGACTCCCACATAGCCAACTACGGTATAAATCTTCAACCCGGCGGCTTAAAATGCCCTCCAGTTGCATGTGCATGTGTGCCCAAAATTCAAATGGAGGAGAAGGAATTGCGGCATGGCCATCCCCACCGCGGGGGGGAGGTGATTTCTCAGTTTCTGTCTCTATCTCTCTCTGTCTCTCCAGCCAGCACATATGCCCTATGGCAAAAATCTCTCTCTACTAAAAAAAAAGTTAAAATCTAATCCATTGATAACAATTGAGTGAATTTGAATGTTGATTTAATCTTAATTCTCAGAGCATATTTAACTACCAAATGCAAATTTTCTCTTTCAGTTTAATAGTAGAGGGTTAGATGATGAAAAAAGAGAAATTTAAACTTTGACTTAAGAAACAATGGGTGAAATTTGGGTAAACCAATTCCATAATATTAATTGTAATAAAATATTGAGAAAAGATCTTTTTCTGCTGGAATTTTGTTCAGCCCATTATAGTGTTAATAAAACATTTTCTCACTCATTCAGCATGAATGACAAACCAAATTCAACTGCCTGTTTTTATAGATAAAGTTTTATGAGAGCACCGCTACACTTGAGCGTTTATGTACAGTAGTAGGGCTGAGTGGTTGCAACAGAGACTGCCCCAAAGCCTGGTATGATGTTCATCTGGCCCTGTGGCAAGTTTGCTGACCCATGCTTCTACAGTATTATATAATGATTTATAAGCCCTCAGTTTGAAACAAAAGATGTAGTTATTTTTTGTAATATCTATTATAATTTCTGATTCACATATAATTGTTGTACATCTTTATAGAGTTGATGTGGTTCTTCAAAGCTTGTATACAGTACAATAATCAGATCAAGGAGAGAAACTTATTCACCAACGTTTATCATTATCAAAAATGTAAAGAATAACAAATGCTCCCAAGGCTGAGAGCATGAGGAATACTGATATATGGTTGGTGGAAAGATACAGCAGAAGATGAAACCTTTAAGGATAATTTTCATAAAGGGTTCATATTTGAGAAATGATTGAAAACAAATACCATGTTAAAGACTTTGTTTTTATTTTCATCTTTTCCAAAATGAAATTGCTTTGTAACTTTAATGCTATATAAGATTCTGTCATTTCTGTCATACCAGACCTAAAATACTTCTGGTATCAAGAGCATAAAGTCACCGATAGATTTTCCGTTTGATCGCTAAATGGGTCTGACTTGAATTATAAATGTAGTGTCTTACATATTTATTCTGCTCTACTGTTTACAAATTATGTCCACATGCTTTATAGCACGTGATTCACAGAGCAGCCTGTTTCCATTTTATAGATGTGGTAAACAAGACAGTGTGTGTGTGTGTGTGTGCGTGTGTGTGTGTGTGTGTACGCATAAGTGTGTTGATTAGGGGCATACAAGAAGTAACAAAACAAACTAGAATCTAGATCATGTATGCTTTGTCTTTCTTCTAAGATAAGTGTCCTCTTCTTTCTCACAATATGGATAGTGTTGGGACTGAATCAAAACTATTTCAGAGAAACTAATAAGAGTTGTCTGAGTAGTTACTGAAATAGTATACTTGTCAATTATTAAGGATACAGTCAATATCAATGGAAAAAAAATACAAAATTCATGTCAAAGCATAAGTGGTTAGAATGACCTCTAGATGGAGGTAAACACCATATTGTGAAGAAACTTTCTTTAGTGTTCCATCAGCCTAAGAGTTTGAGAAATAAAACGTTAAATTCAATTTTTAAAAAGAACAGCATAATACATACATACAGACACACTCAGAAATAGAATTGATTGGAAAAAAGAAATGAAGACCCTTTGGGAGAAAGTGGCCAGGTGACTTTTGAATTTATGATAAGTAGGAAGATAAATAAGCTCTTAAACTAAGTTTTTGAAGTAGATTTACAAAAAAAAAAAAAAAACACCCACAATGCTCTAGTGGCATATTATATAAAAGGGAAAATACATATTTTATAGAATGGTTATTTGTAGTCCATGGGTTTTTTTCTTCATCCAGTGATGTGCGTAGAAACTGATCTCACCTCAGACCAGTGAACCGAGCATCTATTCCTTTGATTCCATCACAGAGAGTTGGGTTGTTTTGTGAATCTCTAGATGAGGAAGTGAGTTCAGATAAATCCAACATAGATTTTTCCAAAAATGTGGCAAGGTCTCTTTTTGTTTTTTTCTTTGCTAGTAGATAGAAAAGGGAAATTGGTCTAGCATATCTGGATTTAAGCAAGGGATTGAGACAAGTTCACTTACAACATCCTTGTGGACAAGATGTAGAAATGGGGAAGCAGCTGGCTTACCCATGCTGACCAAGGGATTTCAGTCTCATTCTACAAATCATTGTCACTCTGGACGTGATTCTAGGGCCAGGTCTGCATATTGGACCCCAGTGTCATTGTCACTCTGGACGTGATTCTAGGGCCAGGTCTATATATTGGACCCTAGTGTCATTGTCACTCTGGACGTGATTCTAGGGCCAGGTCTATATATTGGATCCCAGTGTCATTGTCACTCTGGACGTGATTCTAGGGCCAGGTCTATATATTGGACCCCAGTGTCATTGTCACTCTGGACGTGATTCTAGGGCCAGGTCTATATATTGGACCCCAGTGTCATTGTCACTCTGGATGTGATTCTAGGGCTAGGTCTATATATTGGACCCCAATATACTCAGTAATTTTGTCAGTGTATACAGATATACATAGTATGCTTATATAACTTGTAAATAATACAAATTAGAAGGAACAGGGTGCTAATGGATGACAACTGTAATTGTAAAGATTTTAACACATTGAAAAGGATACTTAGCAAAGCATGAATTAATGGAAGTATGAAAGGAGAGAGAGAGATAGGTATCAAAAATGTTTAAGGAATGCCAGGGACAATGTGGGAGGAGGATGGGGAATCTAGGATGGCAAAACAAAAGGCAAGGTATGCAGGACACAAGAAGTGGGAAATTATTTGCTGAGAACATATATGTTGACGTGCTTGATTGAGCCAATGCACAGTGTATTTTGGATGGAAAATTCATTTGTGTGTTGTGATGGAGGAAAAAAAATTATAATAAAAAATAAACTATTAAAAAAAAGAGAGAAGAGGATAGAGAAAGATAGCAAGTGAACAATAGAGAGGCAGGATGTTAGTGAGAAACAGATATGGTTTATTATCTGTTGATGATGACGTGTATTGTATTCTCAACTGGACTGGTCTGGGAAGTATTTCATGATGGGTGAAGTCTTTTAACAAGCAAAATGAGAAATAGTGATTGACTGTTTTAAAAAATTATAATAATAATAATAATTATTGGGAAAAGCATGGAAAAGACATTGAATGATAAAGCGGGGAGATTAATGTCTCTGTATTGACTGACATGCATGGCATTCCCTTTTGAAAAAGCAACGGAAGTCAATGTAAAGTTATATGTAATCCAATGTAATATAAAGATTATGATGATAATAAAAATTTAAAAAAATGTTTAAGGACATTAGGGAATAACAGATGGAAATCTGAATATAGTATGGGTGTAGTTAATAAGAGTGTGCTAATATTGGTTCATTGTGACAACTATGTTTTAATGTTGCCTATCAATATTGGTACAGTTATGACAAATATGGAATCATGGTATAAAATATTAGCAATAGGGAAATCCAGGTTTGGAGTATACATCTGTGCTATCTGTGACTTTTCCATAAGTCAAAACTATTTTAAAAGAAAAAAAATGTGCTTAACTAGAAAATGGTCTATATGTTTTAAATCCCTATAAGCAAGGAAATTATAATGCTGTAACAAAACTAAGGAGTTTAAGGGAGTACTTATGTGAGATTTTTTTGGAAAGATCGGAATTGCTCTATAGTCTATAATTCTTTGGGAAAAGAGAACAGAATAGCAGAGGACAATGGAAAAGAACATGGTGAATAGACAATCTGAATAAGCCTATGCTTATTAATAAAATGGAATACATGACTAATAAACTTCTAAACCAGAAAATACCAGGCTCAGGTGGGTTCACAGGTAAATTCTACCAGATATTTAAAGAAGAAATTTTACTAAATCTATACAATCTCCAGAAGATAGAATCTGAGAGCATATTTTCTAACTCATTCTATGAAGTGAACAATACTCTAATACAAAAACCAGACAAAGATATCTCTCATGAGCATAGATGCAAAAGTCCTTAGCAAATTGAATGCAACAATGTATAAAAAGAATTATACACCACAACCAAGTGGTATTATCCCTAATATATAAGGCTGGTTCAACATTTGAAAATCAATTACTATAATTCATCACATTAATAGACTAGAAATGAAAAACTCACATACTTAAAAATAATCAAAGTCAGGGACCAGCAGTTGGCATAATGGCTATGTCTCTGGAATCCCATGTAGTCAACCACGGTTCAAGTCCCAGACCTGGTAGCTTTAACTCACGCCAGGCACATGTGCGTGTGTGCCCAATATTCCTAGAGGTGAATGGAGGAGAGGGGATCACTGCATGACCATCCTCCCGGGGGATAAGTTCTCGCTTTCTATCTCTCTGTCTCTCCCGGTCTTTCTGGCGAGTGCATGCGCCCTATAGCAAAAACCTTCCTCCCTCCTCCCCAAAAAAGTAATCAAAGTCTATCAGCCATTTGGGAAGTAAGAAGAATTTTTGTTTATCAACCTGATCTACTTTCTAAGTATGGATCATGCAAGAGGCAGGGAGTGGAAATCTACAGAGAAGTCAAGGGAAGTATATAGAAATTCTAAGTGTGAACGAGTGTCCATAGAAGCTAAAGAGCAAGAGTGGGCTTCCAGTCAACCAAGCCTTTCTACAGGGTTACCAACAACCTCAGTAAAGGGAAAAAATTGAAAAAGATCTGTGAAGGATGACAAATAGCCCTGTCCAAAGGAGAAGGCACAATGCAATGACAGCCTATAGCCTCTGAAAAAGATGCCAATTGCCCTGTTGTCCTCTAAACTGCCACCAGTCAACCGGCTTCACGGAGACAATTTCCAGGCTTGGCGCCAACAATTAAAGATCAGCTCCAAAGGCTAGACATTAGATGCACTCAATTTATAGTCAAATATTATTTATGTAAATTTTGTACTCCCAGAAGGAAAAAGTCAGTAATACATGGGATGCCCTATTCTAGTAATACAGTATTTCCAGGAAGAGTTGAGGGAGATGGGGAATTTTTTGAAAAAGCATACTTTAAAATTATTTTTTACTTTGTTTTTAGTCATGATAGTATTATCTTCCATGACATTAAAAGTCATGGCTTTTTTAAAAAATTATTTTATTTAATTGTGTTTATTCAGTCATTTATTTAAATTTGACCAGAGAGAGACACAGAGAGAGAAAGAGAGAGAGGAAAGTGAGAAAGCAAGCCACCAGGTCCAGGACACAAATCTGGTCAACCATGTGGAAGTGTCCAGCACCTTAACTACCACACCTACTGGTCCCCAACATTTTTATTTTTATATTCTAAAAAGTGAATGTATTTTAAAAGATTGCTTTTAATAGTGTTTTTAAATGTATAAATCTGTTGACACAGTGTTTTCCAATTTAGTAATGTTGAGATTAGAATTTCTCTGGGAACTTCTTTGTGATGCTGCTGCTGCTGATGATGATGTGGTATTTATTAAAATTGCCTTCGCGGGGAACCAGCAGGTGGCATATGGGTTAGGGGGCTGGACTCCCACATGATCAACCACAGTTTGATTCTCAGACCCAGAGCCTTGAAAATCATGCTGGGCACATGTGTATATATACCCAAAATCCCAAGAGGAGAAGGGAGAAAAGAGGGATTTCCATCCCCCCAGCAAATGATTTCTCACTTCACCTTTCTTAGAATCTCTCTGTTTCTCTTCTTTTCAGCAAGCACATGCACCCTATGGCAATAAATAAATAAATAAATACATACATACATACATACATACAAACTGCCTACATTCCAGACACAGGTCTAAGAAGAACATAACATGTTCTGACTCATTTTTCCCACAAAAAATATATATATATATATATATATATATATGAGATGGGTAATATTAGTGTCCCAGGTTATAGATGAGGAAAATGGACTTACGTTAATGTCAATTATTTGTTATCTTGGGGAACTTTGCATCTTTGTGAATACTTTGTAAAAATATTAATGAATGCTTTAGATTTTTTAAAAGATTATAGGTTGGTAGTTTGTGATTAAACATTTATATGATAGCTTTGTTATTCTTCTCAGGTATGCAATTTTATGTGGCTATGTGTCTGAGCTTGAGGGCTTACAGAGCAAAATCAACTGTGGATATCACTTCAAGGTATTTCTTGAAATATTTTAATATAACTACATATTTCATTCACAGGTCTAAATATGATTTTTCAACAAATTAAGCTCTAGATTTTTATTTTGTTGTTCAAATAGTAGGATATGGAATGTCTCCCTTTAAATAGTACTGTGACAAAAAGAATCGGACTATTTGAGTAATTAAAGAATCGGACCATTTGAGTAATTAAAGATGATTGTTATTCTAGATCCTAAAAGAAATCATTTGGTAGATGATAATTATTTTTGTAAAGATTGAGGATTAGCATTTTGGTCATGAGTTTACCCACATCCTCTAAGAATGGCTGGGACTAATTAGTCAACAATCTCTGTATATGGACATGGGGGTGGGGAACCTATTCTAGGGCTTAAATATATTGTGATAAATGAACAAAATAATCTACATTCATATCATTTATTATTTGCCCCTAGTTATCATACCTCATAATAACCCCTCAGAGTCAATAATTACACAAATGAGCTAATAGTTCTTCTCCATTTTCCAGCTTCCTATAACCTTTTTTTAAATAAGGATTTTGCAGTGGGGTGTGTGTGTTCACCAGAGAGAAACACATAGAGACAGAGAGAGAGAGAAAGTGAGAAATCAACCCCCTTGTGGAGGTAGCTCTGCCACAATCCTTTCTCTCAGGATTTTGGGTGTGCATGCACACATGCCCAGCATGCTTTTTAAGCTGCCGCGTCTGGGACTTGAACCATGGTAGACGATGTGGGAGTCCAGCACCTTAACCACTGTGCCGCCTACTGGTCCCCCGTAACCATTTTGATAATGCCAGAGGAACAGATTCTTCTCTCATCTAGTTCTGATTTCTTCTCCCAGGACATCCTACACCATGTCATTTGATATCTGTAATCTCACCTCTGAAGCAATAAATATTAACTGGACAAGTCATGGGCAAGCAGGCATCGACTTGGGTGTTTCCTGTTTTTATAGCAACATTTTGACTTTAAATTATAAGTAGCCTTACCTAATCATAGTCGCATTGTGGTTCTGGTTGTAAGCAGTCATTTTTGATCATTGAATTATTAGAATGTTTCATTGTATTAATGATAGGGATGGCGATGGTGGGTGTGGGATGCTGAGACAGTACTGTAAAATCCACTTTCAAGTTTGGTAGGCTTTGAGCCAGTTCCATTCAACCATGTCTGAGACGAGAGATGATTTTTCTTTGGGATGTTTCTTTCAGGAGCATCTGGATATAGCAATCCAACTTTTACCTCAAGAACCTTTACTGTATTACCTCAAGGGAAGATACTGTTATACTGTAAGTTGTTATAATACTTCATTTATAAATATTATTTGAAGACAGATGAGCATGAGCACAATTCCAAGCTGTTTTCTGAAAGTAAACTGTTAACTTATGGCTTCCAATGAGACAACCTTAACTGGCAAAAGGACTTAATATGCTTTCCTCTTGCTCCAGGATATCTGACAGTTTTTATAACATTAGCTGTGCTAGTTATAGCATGTTGTCCAACACTGACTATAGTCTATAAGATTAAAGTGGAAAGGAGTAAATGAGAAATGATTTCACATATGTTTAACTGTTTTCTAGAACACATTTTTATTAAATCACTCACAAAAGAAGGTCTCTGAATGGCAAGTGTGCATACGAGAAGATATTCAGCATCATTACTTATCATTAGAAATAGGCAAATTAAAACCACAGAGAAAGACCATAACATATACATGGAAAGGGCTAACCCGAAAAAGATTGATGATATCATGTGTTGGCAGGGGTAAGGAGCTATTGGAATGCTCATCTATTCTGATGAGAAAATATAAATAATAAATATGTAAATAAATGGTACAGTGATTCCTAGGTATTTACCCTGAGAAATGAAGTATATTAGTACATAGATGTTCATAGCAACAAAGCACTATGCTAAGAAGGTTCCAAAAAACCTACATGGTGTATAATTCCCTTGATTCAAAATTCTAGAAAAGGCAAACTATAGTCACAGAGCAATAGTTGTTTGGATTAAGAGTAAGGTAAGGGGACTGACTGACTGCAGAGAGGCACAGAAAAACTTGGGGATGTTAAAAATGTGCCATATATCAGAAATCATGGTAGTTACACAATTGTATGCATTGTGTCAAAAGGAATTAGACTATATAGCTCTGATGGAGGAAGTTTTGTATAGATTATACCTCAGTAAAGATGATTTTTAAAATATACAATGACCAAGAAACATGGAAAGAAAACATATGGAAAAAATAAACCAATAGTACTAAAAGTTGTATTCACATGTATATGAATATAGGTATACATAATATATATTTATACTATCATATATTTACTTACGTATACATTTTTAGGCAAAGGGTCTTTAGAGATAAAGGGGATAACTATAATAATAAATTGTTCAATTCACCAGGCAAGTGAAGTATTTCTAAATTAGTGTGCTCCAAACAGTATCCTGAAATCTATAAGATAAAAATTGGTCAAATTATACAGATCCACAGTAAATTTTCATACACTGCCCAGTTTTATTCAGTGTCTGAAAAATATTAAAGATAAAAAGTACTAGTAAGTATGTAGACATCAGAACCTCACATTTAATAAGCATCATCTAATAAACAAATATGAAAATATACACCTAGTCATTGGCGGGTACACATCTTTCAAAGCAGATGCAGGATTTTTACATATCGATCACATATGAGGCCATAAAGCAAATTTTAGTAAATATCAAAGAATTGGTCATGCAGGTTTCCTGATTATGATGGCATTAAATTAGAAATTTTACAAAAATAGAAAACGATAATGAAAACTCCCAAGTAGATGTCATTTTATTCCTACTATTTTAGTATAGTTTTAAAATATCAATATGAGGTGTTATGAGAATATAGAGCAACAGGAATTCTTACATTGTCATAGAAGCATAAATTAGTACAGTTACCTTGGGAACAATTGAGTACGTATTATCTTTTAAATTTGACTACTTGCATGCCATGATCTGCAGTGGTGCCCACCCTACCCTAACTCTTGTACATGTGTTCCAGAAGTCATGTAAGAAAAAAATGCCTGTAGCAAGGGGAAAATGAAAGAAGCAAAACATTTAAGGGATACAAACATGGAAAATTATCTGTTGATGATAACATGTATGATCATATCTTTAACTGGACTAACAGACAGTATATTCATGCTGGGTAAATTCAAGCTGTAATGATAATACAGTGGTTGACTGTGTAATAAATAAATAATTAAATCAATCAATCAACTATGGAAAGAAAAAATGAAATACCTATAGCAGCCTTGTTACTAAAAGCAAAAGTAAAGAAAAGACCGGATGCACATTGTTTGTTTAAGTGGTGGACTGTTTCAGGTATTTAAATGGCTGAGTTTCCATTGTACTCATCAACTTGCATGCTTAAAACCATAATAATATTAAGGTGGGTGGGGGAGAGTCATAAAAGGAAATCAACAGTGTAATATCTTTTTTTTGCAAAGTTTAAAACAATGCAAAAGTAAACATAGTAAGTAAAATTATGTAGAAAAACAAGGAAAGTTAAATTATTTTATACATTTAATTAAGAATTTGAGTAGACTGGCCCCCTAGAGATCCAGAAGATAGAATTGAGAAAGAAGACACTTGATGGGGTACATCAATACCCTGTTAAGTATTCATCTCTGGGCTAATTTAATCTTTTATCATAAACATCTAATATTCATATTTGGAAAAAATAAAACATTTTTAAAAGAAGGGAAAAGAGAAGTGGCCATATGAAGTTTGGTTTTGGTGGTTATTGCTTGAAAAACAAAACCCCTAGATTATGAACATGTATATTGGGTCTTCACGCTATACACTTGGTTTGAGTTGCTGTTCTTTGTTCCTATTTCCGTTTCTGAGACTCTGCCTCCTCTGGGCTAGAGGCTCAGTGGCAGTGGGAGTTGGCAGGAAGAGAGCAAAGGTGGTCTTGCAGTGACTGCAAGAACTATTCTATGATCAACTCCACATTATTCCCCATCCCACCCATTTTTCTCAGATTGAACCAAACCCTCTTATCATAAATATTTTAAATTGCTTTTGAAACCAGTGTTTCTGGAGCTCATGGCTTACTGAAATTATGAAAAGGGAAGGCAAAATACTATTTAGCTCATGGTTTATTGAAATTATGAAAAGGGAAGGCAAAATACTAATATTAATGCCATAAGGGTGATATCTCTCATACATTTATTTGTATATATACTTAATATATGAGAGTACTTCAAAAAGTTCATGGGAAAATGTAATTAAAATGCAGTTTTATTTTGGCACAAAGAAGATTGAAATCAATGAAGAATTTTTTCATAATAAGCATTTTCCCTGGACTTTTTGAAAATCTCTCTTTTACTGTATTTATATATACATACATACATATATATATATATATATATATGCACATCTAACTGGGAAGACATTATCCATTCTAAAGGTACACAACCTTCTAAGAGTGATGTTGTTCTGTATTTGCAGGTCTCAAGACTGAGCTGGATTGAAAAAAAAATGGCTGCTACTGTCTTTGGTAAAATACCAACTTCAACTGTACAAGAAGCTTTGAATAATTTTCTTAAGGTATATTTTGTCTCTTCACTGTTTCAGTGTCAGACTGGTTACCATCTGCACAGTCCCTGCCACTCTCGTTGTCAAGGAAATCTCTCTTCTCCATGTGTAGATCTCTAACTGAAGCCTCGGTTTGAATCTTAGTTTTGGCATGTTCTGTTTTAAGCCTCTCATAATGCAGGTTATATTTGAAATCTAAACTTCTTAGAGTACCTCATGTTACCCTAGATCTTATAATAACAAACTACTTTTTAAATAAGTCAGCAGCCTACATGAAGACTTAGGTACAGCAGTTCTTACTACTACATCCAGGAGCCATCTAAGTCATGTGCCCATGGGCACAGACTGTCATGCTCTGGGTACTAGGCCTGGTCCCAGTACTTTTGACTAGCATGGAACCTGTTTAACTAACTCTTTTATTTATTTATTTTTTAAGAGAGATTTTTGCTATAGTGTGCATGCACTCACCAGAGAGACAGAGAGAGCCAGAACCAGAACACAAGAAATCACCCCTCAATGGGGATGCTCATTCTGCAATCCCTTCTCCTCCATTCTCCTCTCGGGCTCTTGGGCACGCACGCACACGCGCCCGGCGTGAGTTTTAAGCCACCGGGTCCGGGACACGAACCGCGGTTGACTACGTGGGAGTCCAGCGACATAGCCATTATGCTAACTGCTGGTTCCCTGGTCTAATTAATCTTAAAGAACTAAATAATGCCAAAAGGAAAATCCACCTCTTAAATTGCAGATACTTCTGTGGAAGATTCTTGGGGCATCAGACCAAAATGGTATTTTTATTCCTATCTTCAAATGAAATATTGCTATGCAAATAAAACTCTGAATAGTAATATGTATGTGTGTCCACATGTAAATATGTACTATATCCACCATGCAATCAGCTTCCTACTGGGCTAATCCATTACTTCACCTTTCTCTGGAACCAATTATAAATTCTTTTAGTTACTAAATGTTTTTTCTTTCCTCACTTACTGATTTCAAGTTTATAAGAACAGAGACAAAATTAGGCTCTGAACTATATTGGCTAACATTGTATGCATGCTAATTTGTGTTATCTTTTAGGTATCAATTTTGTAGCCATGAGAGAGAATTTAGAGCTCATTTAGTCTAAAATGGCAAATGGGGTTCCTCTTACTTTCCCTCTCTGACCAATGCCCAGTGGTGCCTACAGTGCTTTGTGGAAAAAATCATTTTTCTGAGATCAAGCAAACCCCAAAGGAAAAACGTGTAAGAGATAATAATGCACAGGGACGATGTGTTTTATTATTTAATGTGCTCTTTCCTATTCTGTGAGTCCTCGGGAATTTAATTTGTCCAGATTCACACAATGGTCATCAAAGATTTGATTTAAGATATAATACCACAGCTCAGGGTCTAGCATATTAAGTGCTCTCATTAAAAATAAATAATTTTTTGCTACAGATTACTTTTGCCTATTCTAAAATTTTACATAAATGAAATCATATACTGTATACTTTTTATGCATCTGGCTTCTATCACCCAGCATAATGTTTTGAGATTATTAATTTTATTGAGTATCTCAGTAGTTCCTTTTCATTGCTGAGTAATAGTCTATTATAGGAGTATACTCATATAATTCATTTATGTGTTACCATATTGGTAAATATTTAAGCTGCTTTTAGCTTGCGGCTATAATTGGGTTGTCAAAAAAGTCATGGCACATTTTTGCAAAGGATGGGCACATCGAATATAGGTACTCAACTTATAGTTGAGTCATGCCCTGATAAACCCATCGTAAGGTTGAAAAATTCTAAGGTGAAGCATACGTCAGGGGCCATCTCTAGATGACAGGTGTGGCAATGGAGAGGAGTAGGCTGCCCTGATCTCGTCCCCTGTTGGCCATCTTGTGATCCCAGGGTCATCTCTCTCAGCAGTCTCATCACCTGCAGAGCTTACTCCCTATGTCGTGATGTGGTGGGATGTGGCTGCTTGAGATGATAAGGTGTTGTAAAACAAAGCTAATTTATTCAACAGTTTTATTAAGCATGTGCCTAGTGCCAAACACAGTGTAAAGTGCAGGAGACAGAGAAATTACCAACCTAGCTCTGGGTTTTTAGGAATGTGTACAGCCAAGACCAGGTAAACATTTGCCAGGTGTTATGTTGGAATATTCTAAGAGCTCTTGAGAAGCTGCTCCTTAATTAGAACATTGTACTGAGTAATTCTGCCTTCCTTTGGTAAGAGATCAGAATCTGTTCCAGATGTTGTTAGGAGCCTCCGTGTGTTGTTCCCTTGGACTTCATTTACTTTTCAGTGATGACAGCCCAAATAGGTATTCTGATGTATAATCACTTAGTTAATAAAGCATAGATGATGATATATATATATATATACACATATACACACACACACACACACACACACACACATATATATAGGCAGAATTACAATTCCAGCATTAAAGAAAAAAGCTGCTTATGCGTATTCACTGGGGCAGATAGAATTTGGACAGTGCTGGGGCAGCTACCAAACAAACAAAGGCACAGTGGAACACAGTTCAGCCTAGGTCCCTCTTACATCTTCTATCTTGTATCAGGCATACTTCTGGGGACCAGCAGTTAGCATAATGGCTATGTCGCTTGACTCCCGTGTAGTGGACCACAGTTAGAGTCCTGGACCCGATGGCTTAAACTCACACTGGGTGCATGTGCATGCATGCCCAAGATCCCAAGAGGAGAATAGAAGAGAAGAGATTGCGCCGTGGCCGTCCCCCCTGTTGGGTGATTTCTCGCTTTCTGTCTCTCTGTCTCTCTCTGACTCTCTGGCGAGCGCATGCACCCTATAGCAAAAATCTCTCATTAAAAAAAAAAAAAAAAAAAAAAAACTCTCCAAAGAAAAAAAAAAAGCATACTTCTGTAAACTTTTAAAAGTGTCTCACTTCTTTTGAATCCTGCCTCTCTGTAGGTTGGGAACTGGGTTAGGGTCATGTGGGGAACTTGCTTGCCTAGGCATTCTCAATAGAAAAGCTGTCTCTGCATGAAGGTTGATTTAGGTTCTGTGAAGAGTCTGCTAGAGGAAATACCATAACCCTGACAGAATCCTTGTTTCCCAGAGATGAAGAAAAGGAGCTGATACATAAATGATTAGTAGATGAGGGGTCAAGTACTTCCATAATACCCACGTAGGTCTACTACTTGGACTGAGTTTTTCAAGGACCTGTCTTTCCGTTAGAAGTACTTGGTGTGTTGGGATCAGCAGTTGGTATATTGGCTATGTTGCTGGACTCCCATGTAGTCAACTGCAGTTCGAGTCCTGGACCCAGTGGCTTAATCTCATGCCGGGCACATCCGCGTGTGTGCCTAAGATCCCAAGAGGAGAATGGAGGAGAGGGGATTGCAGAGTGGCCATCCCCCCTGGGGGGTGATTTCTTACTTTCTGTCTCTCTGTCTCTGTCTTTCTGGTGAGTGCATACCCTATAGCAAAACCTCTCAAAAAAAAATAAATAAATACTTGGTGTGGTGGGCTTCCGATATTATTCAACTTATAAGGAATGTACTGCAATCTTAAATCAAAACTTCATCTAGCAGAAGACACATACCTCTGCGTTCTGCTGTCATCTCTCAAAAAGATCAGAAATATATAAGACTTGACCTGGAGAAAGCTTATCAGCAGTCGTTTTTGTTCTTGAAAGAAAAAAAGAGAAAAGATCGAGAAATCAGAGTGAGGAAAAAAATTATATAAAGTAATCTCAAAACTTTGAGCATCTCATGGCTTTGTGCTTTCTGACCATAGTCATCAGCTTCTGAATGGCTAAACACAAAAGTTATGTTTCCAACCAGAAGACACGTAATCTGCTAAAATCATTCAGATGTGAAACTGCCAATCTACATTCTCAGGGAAATTTGGTTAATAATATTTGGTTTATTGAAATATATATCCTCTTCACTCATGGTTATTGTTATTATAAACATTTTGCCCTCATCTTCTGTTCTCTCACTCAGGCTGAAGAACTACACCCTGGTTACTCTAAGCCCAATTACATGTACTTGGCAAAGGTAATGAAGACTGCCGTTACAAGGTTACTACATCCATTTTATTAAAATGTGATTACATTGGGAACCAGCAGTTAGCGTAATGGCTATGTCGCTGGACTCCCACGTAGTCGACCGCGGTTCGTGTCCCGGACCCGGTGGCTTAAAACTCACGCCGGGCGCGTGTGCGTGCGTGCCCAAGATCCCGAGAGGAGAATGGAGGAGAAGGGATTGCGGCGTGACCATCCCCCCTGGGGGGTGATTTCTCGCTTTCTGTCTCTATGTCTCTCTCTGTCTGTCTGGCGAGCACACGCGCCCTACAGTGAAAATCTCCAAAAAAAAAAAAAAATGCGATTACATTTAATACTAGTTATTTTTCATTTTTAGTGTTATATTGATCTTGGGGAAAATCAGAATGCTTTGAAGTTCTCTGATTTGGCGTTAGTGCTTCCTGTTGTTACCAAAGAGGTAAGTCCGGACAGTGACAACGAATGCTGTAATTTTACCAGGACAATTCAAGTTTAAAATATAATGATTAGTTGAGAGAGGTTTGGAGTTTCCCTCCTTCCTTTCTTTCTTAAATTTTACTTATATCTTTTCCAGCTTTATGAAGAGATAGTAGACAAATAAAAATTGTATACGCATAAATAGCACACAACCTCATGTTTTGATATACATATGCCTTGAGAAACAATTACACAATCAAACTAATTAATATTGCTGTGTAGTTGCCTTGCTGTTGAGAATATTTAAGACTGACTGTCTTAGCAAAACTCAGTACACGACACAGAAGTACTAGCTATAGTCACACTGCTGCCCTGATCTCCAGAACTTACTCTGCATAACTGAAACTTCCTCCAGCCCTCAACCTAGCAACCCCTCTTATCCCCTCTGCTCAATGATTGAGTTTTTGTCTGTCTGTCTGTTTGTTTGTTTGTTTGTTTGTTTGTTTGGAGAGGTTTTTGCTATAGGGCCCATGTGCTTGCCAGAAAGACAGAGAGAGACAGAAAGTGAGAAATCACCCCCCCCCTCCGGAGGGGCAGGGGAATGGCCATGCAACAGTCCCTTCTCCTTTCTCCTCTCGGGTTCTTGGGGATGCCCACACATGTGCCCGGAGTGAGTTTAAGCCACCGGGTCTTAGACTCGAACCGTGGTTGACTATATTGGGAGTCCAGCAACATAGCCATTATGCCAACTGCTGGTCCCAGCGATTAAGTTTTATTTTATACTGAAACATCTACTTGGATATTCCATGTACTAGGAAGTTGTTAAATTTGCACTATCTCTGCGAGATAATTTGTCATCAGGAGACCCTTTCCGTCTTTAAGAGGTGCACACATCATGTGCCAGTGGTCGGAATACCCTACTGCTTGTGAGGTGTAAGATAGCCGGGAATGGGACAAGCCCCACGGACAAGGGGCGGGGACGGCATCCTTTTAAGGAACTATGCAGCAAGCAGGCTAAACAGGTTGCCCAGCTTAGAACAAGGCGAGTGTCCATGGGCTGCCATCCTTAGTCCCCAGCTCTCAGCAGGGTGTGACCGTCAAGGCTGTGAAAAAGATTAAAAATACACATTAATATTTTCTTTGTTTGGGGATGCCTGTCATTAATGAAAAAGAAGCTATCACACTGCCTCTTGTCCTTTTACTCAATAATTTAAGCTTCCGGATATGCTGTAAGGTTCGGACATTCTGCAGGGTTAACTGCTCAGTCTATGGGAACAGAAGGAAATACGTGAATGTTTTCCTGTTCCTTTCTCTTATCATCAAGCATTGTCACTCTCTAAATGAAGTAGAAGAGAAATGTGTCAGAGAAAGCACTCCTGTATGGGAGCAGCGCAGGCGCCGCCCGCCGACCTTTGTTGTGATCTGGAACAGAAGCAGATTAGACGTGCCTGTTGGCCCTCTAGGAGCATATAGCCTAGAAGAGAGCTCACGGTAAATGTCCAGACAACTGTAGCTCAAGACAGAAACCATCAGGTGCTCAGAGATATAAATCATTGGCTGTGGACATTTTTTTTGGTAGAAGTTTTTTTGCCTTAGAGTTCATGCTCTCACCAGAGAGAGAGATAGAGACAGTGAGAGGGAAAGTAAGACACCACCCCCTCAGGGGGTATGGCCATGCCACAATCCCCTCTCCTCCATACTCCTCCCAGGATCTGCTCTTCCTTTATCTTCCCCTCTCTGTAGATGGACTGCCTAACTGGAAAACCTGGGAACCGTCAGTAATGCTTCCTTCTCCTTCTACCTCCCCAAACCCAGATGTCCACCCAGTCACCACCATCTCAGAATTCATCTTCTAGAACATGCCTTGAACTATCCATTGCATTCTCTCTTCACTGCTGCTACACAGTGCCCTGCCCACTCTCATCGGTACCACAGATGTGAGATCTTCCTGACTGGCCTCCTCAAAGCTGCTCTTGGCTTCCAAAGCAGCCAAACCAAGAGATTAAACAAAAATCTCAACATGCCACTTCCCTACTTAAAACTCTTTGCTGTTAGAATGAAATTCAAAATCTTTATCATGTCCTTCAAGGCTCTAATCCAGCCTTTCCAGTCTCTCGGGCTTCATACGGTTCCCCCTCTCTCCCTTCCTCTACATCATGTTCCTCACTCACCTTCATCCTGAGAACCTGTTATTCCCTCTTCCTGAAAGACTCTTCCCACCTAGCCCCTCCACTCTCACTAGCTGTTTTCCTACTCATCCTTCACACCTCACCATAAATGCTATTTCTTCAGAAAAGACTTTCTTGATGCCCCTTGAAAAAAGCCCCTCCTCATTCTTTGCCTTCATATCATAAAATTTGGAGGGTGGTCTGAAGTTTGTTCCAAGAAAGTAGAAACCAGATCTGCTTCATTCACTATTCTAGTGTGGAGGATACTAACTAGTATCCAAGAAGCATCTAATAAGTATCAGTTCAGAGAGTCAAAGCACTAATACCATGCAAATAAAAATAGTAAAAACCTGGATGCTGTGGATGTATTTCTAAAATAATAATTTAAAAAAAAAAAAAAGCACAAGCAGATATTTCCCACTTTACATTTCCCCCCCAAGTGATACCTCCATTTGTATTCTTGGCAGTTTTTGGGGTTTTTTTTCCAGATAATAAGTGTACTATCAGGCTAGTTCAGTATCTTTTTCAGTAAGAAAATAGAATGAAGTGAGTTATATGTAGTCCTCCTCTGTAGAGTTTTTCTCAGATAGAATTCTACCCGATTAGTGATTCTGCTGGCCAGTTTACTCGTTTCCAAACTCTCTCGCAGTGCCCCTAATTACGCTGAAGCTGACCTAGCCACCGGTTTCCCCTCCCTTACGTGAACTTGCACAGTGTGCTCGCTGCTTCTTTCTGGGGGCATTTGTAGCTTCTGCCTTGCCTCGCAGTCGTCTACGGACGTTTCTTCTGTCCCCAGTCAGGGAGCTCTAAGCTCATCACACTGCTACTTGATATTGGGAATGTCAGCCGTTTGCTCTCCAGAGCCCAGATTCATGTAAACATCTGTACATTCCCAGAATATGCAACTACGGAATTTTTATTATTCATGTGGCCGTTTTTTGACCCTAGGAAGGTAGTCTCAGATCCTGGAAAGCTTTTTTTTTTTCTTTTTTTGAAAAATAAAAGAGATTCCTGTGGTCCAAGGCAGTGTGAGAATGATTACTGAATGAAATAATGACTTCACCAGCAACCTGAAGGTTATTTGCCTGGAGGCAATATTGAAGTTCACTGAGTGTAGTCTGCTGGAAAAGTTCAACTTTAAAAAGCATTATGTAATGTTTTTGCAGTAAGAGATGTGTTCATCTGCTTCTAAAATAAAAAACTACATTTTAAAATTGCTATACTGTTTTAAAGTGACATTAATCACCTTTTATAGCAAATAGATACTGGTAGGATCATAAACACAGTATACCAAAAACAACTACAAGAAGAATGGCATAATTGTCTTTGACGTTACCTGTTGATTAAAGTCCTGAGCTGCATTTCCAATAGCCATCTAGATTGAGAGTCATCATTCCCATTGGGAACTACTCTTAGAAAAAAATTCTAAACCTACTTGAAATGCCTTAATCTTCATTAAGACATCATATTTGATTATCTTATTGAAAACACATATTGACTATAAATGTTCACCCTGCCTTCCTGGTGCAGAAAAGCCACAGCCGATTATCTTATTGAAAACACATAGGTTTGTAAAATATAAATTGACTATAAATGTTGACCCTGCATTCCTGGTGCAGAAAAGCCACAGCTCCAAGTGATAAAAGGGTCACTTACTGAATTCTGGCTATGTCTCATTTGTTAGAAATTCTTATTTGCCTATTTCCTTCTGACTTCAACTTAGTTCTTATAGATTAACTCTTCTGTGCTATTTGTCTATCTGAAAGCTGTATTTTTCCTTACACACTTTTTAAAATTAATATGGCCATCATAGGATGAATAAAATTTTCCCACTGTGTATATACAGATTTTTTTTTTTTTTGAGAGGTTTTTGCTATGGGGAGCCTGCGCTCACTAGAAAGACAGAAAGCAAGAAGTCACCTCCCAGGGGGGGAGGGCCACACCGCAATCCCTTCTCCTCCATTCTCCTCTCGGGATCTTGGGTACGCACACACACGAGCCCTGCGTGAGTTTTAAGCCTTCGGGTCCAGGACTCAAACCGCCATAGACAACATGGGAATCCAGTGACATAGCCATTACGCTAACTGCTGGTCCCGTATATACAGACATTTTCATGAGTCTCAGGAAGGGCGCGTTACTCTCTTTACATCCTCTTGTTGCAATTCTTTTGGTACTCACCTTGTCATTTGCATCCATGATGTACTATTTCTTAAGATTTCCCAATATATAGTGGTCTTGGTTACGGTCTTTAAGTTGATCTTTAAAGACCCTAGATTCCTTAGGCTTCCCTTTACTTGTTTACTTTCTTAAAATAACTAATGATACAGCACCAGTTTGTGATGAGCCATTCTTAACCAATACCTGGCCTAGTAAAGTTGATGTCTGATAATCATTACCCACATGCTAGGAGTATAGTAACAATTTAGTGTAAGTAAATCCCTTATTTATCCAAAGTCTTTTTTAGAGAGCACTGATGGATTTTTCCCAAAATATATTTTTCCAGCACTTTCAGATGAAATAAATCTATATTTTTGAATGTCTATGTTTGAATGAATGTAAAGACAGATTTCTTTTTTATAATTATTTATTTTATTTTTTATTTATTCATTCATTTATTTTTTAATTTGACCAGAGAGAGATAGAGGGTGAGAGTGAGAGAGAGGGGAAGTGAGAAAGCAAGCCACCGAATTCAGGACTTGAACCCTAGTCGGCCATGTGAGATTGTCCAGCACCTTAACTACCATGCCACCTGCTGGTCCCCAATAAAGACAGATTTCTTATTCCCCTAAATTGCAAGTACAGGGCTATCTGCTGGAGACTTGGGATACAAAGAGAAAAAACAAGCATAACTTTGCCACTGTGAATTCTGTGGTTTCATGGGGAAGAAGACACCAAAAAAGTAATGCAGTACAGTGTAACATTGGAAATAAAGCCCAGAGATTTATGAGAAAATAAAAGTACTGTAATCCAGGCCAGGAGCTAAGAACGACCTTCCTGAGGTTTTGCTATGTAACCTGAGATTTCTAAAGAAATTAAAATTTAATCCCAATGATTTAAATCATTAATTGACTTGCTTGGAGAATAGAGGGTTTATTTAAAAATACAGATTCTAAGACCAGCAGATAGCATAATGGTTACGTTGCTGGACTCCTACCTGATTGACCACAGTTCAAGTCTCAGACCCAGTGGCTTGAAACTCACACTGGGTGTATATGTGTACATGCCCAAAATCCCAAGAGGAGAGTGAAGAAGAGATTACAGTGTGAAGGGTGATTTCTTGCTTTCTGTCTCTCTGTCTCTCTGGGAGTACACATGCCCTATAGCAAAATTTTCTAAAATAAATAGATAAATAGATAGATAACACAGATCCCTGGCCTTTTTCTAGAGAAAGAAAAACTGCGCTCTGGACTATGTGACCCCAACCTCAATATCAGCACAGTCTCACTCAAGCATCCGTTGAGTTGTAGGAAAAGTCATGATGCATTTTTATATAGGAAAATTATGTCATGACTTTTCCAACAACCCAGTATTTGGGTTCTTCTTTTCTGACTTAGTGTTCAGACTGTTCCTGAGTGTGAATATAGAGAAAGATTGTAGTGGCTAAGTTCTCAACAGTGCAAGAACTGATGACCTTTGAGGACATGAATGTGGACTTCACTCAGGAAGAGAGGGTCCTGTTGGACCCACCCAGGAAGCGCTCAGCGATAGGATGCTGGAGAATATCAGTCATTTCGTTTCCCTGGGGCTATCAGCCTGCACCCAACAAAAGTCTATGTCAAAGAACCTGGAGTATCAGGATAAATATGTGACATTTCATTGTATATTTGTATTTTCTTTGTAGGATAAAGAGGCACAGAAAGAAGTGAAAAAAATAATTACTTCCTTGAAGAGGTAAATAAAAGAGCTTACTCTTCAACAAATCAGATGTGGTCCACTAAAATTTAAACTAATCAAAGTTGTGTTTTATTATACTTTCCTCTTTTTTGATGTACGGGTGATATGCTCGGATTTGAAGGTAAAACCATGTATCTGCAGAATGCATTCCACTGGTGGCACTGCAAAGTTAATCATGTTGCTTGGAGACTTTACTATAATGTCAAAACATAATGATCCATAAACATGTATGCTTTATATTTTTCCTATCGATAAACCATAGCCTTCAAAATATTTCTTTAAATAAAATATTTAAATCAATCCAATTAAATGGACTCTAGTGTGTATTTTATTGTTTCAATGGAGACTTTGTAAGACAAAATAATTTGATTAATGCAGACAAAAAATGAGGAAAATATCAGCAAAGGACATGAACAAGTTGTTGACAGAAGAGGAAAAATAAGAGAGAAAACTAGTAACCAGAGAAATCTGAATAAAATTATAGTAAAATACTGTCTCATCATCAAATTAGCAAAGGTGTATTTTTTTTCTTCTTCTTCTTCTTTCAGGAAACAATTCTGACAATATTGCATGCTCATATACTGTTAGCGCAGGAATATTTTGGCAAAAACCTTTAATAAAATGTTTCTAGAGCCTTAAAAATGTATTCACTTCCTTTTTTTTTTTTTTTCTTTTGCTAAAGGGCACATGCACTCACCAGAAAGACAGAGAGACAGAAAGCAAGAAATCACCCTCCAGGGAGGATGGCCACACTGCAATCCCTTTTTCTCCATTCTTCTCTCAGGATCCTGGACACACACGCAAACACGCCCAACATGAGTTTAAGCCTCCAGGTCTGGGATATGAAGCGTGGTCAACTACATGGGAGTCCAGTGATACAACCTTTATGCCATCTGCTGGTCCCTAGAAAACGTATTAACTTTTTAACCTTATAATTCCATTTCAGGGAAATAATTCTAAAGAGAATAGTACAATGATTTAAGCACTAATGTTAACATAACAGCTCATAACAGAGCATAAAACCAGGTGGTGGCCATACCAGTTCCTCCTAGCCCTTTTAATGTCGGGGCCAGGCCCTGGGAAGATGGTGCCCTGGAGCCCGGCCTTGCTGGGGTAGGGGTGGAAGGTGACAGAGTCGGGGACCAGCTATGTCAGGGATGACCCTGAGTCTGCTGCAGCTTTGAGGTGCCAGTTTTAAGCCAGCTTCGACTCTTGGGGGATCATCTGGTGGAGGCGTAGATGAGTATCAGTTTATTAGCAAGACATCTACAAAAGAGACCCAAGGTCAACAGATAATTCTGAATTCACAGAACAAAAGAAAACCGTAGGCAAAATTGCAGCTTGCTTAGAATTACAAAGGGCAGCTTTACAATTCACTCCGTTTCAAGAAGAAGTTAGGCTAGAAGACCCGAAGAAGGTAGAACCAAATCCTAGACAATATTCTTACACATAATGAAGAATTCCAGTCAACGTTCAGCCTATCCTGTTGAGAATTTTAGCACCTAGCAAAGAAGAGAATTTGGAATTTGAAAAAGATGAAGAGGGGGGTGCTAGAGCAGGGTCTCCTGATTGTTTTCCTGTTAGAATTCCCTGTACTTTATTTCCAGGGTTGCCATCTGAACCAGGGATGACATTACTCACTCTCAGAATTGAGGAAGTTGGTTTGAAAGAAGCTGGCCAGGGCATTGATCCCTGTTACAGTTAGTATAAAGAATCCAAATGGCATAGATCAAACTTCTGTACAAGATACTCCTGTGACTTTAAGAAAGGAAGATACATTCATTCATCTTAATATGGACATTGAGCTCTAGAAGCACGTAGAAAAATTAACCAAAGGTGCACCTATCTTCTTTGAATTCAAATGCTACAACTTACTTATAAAGGGCTTACCAGCACCAAGTGTTTGGCTTTCCTGGAGATGGATGAAATTAAATTGGGGCCCATTGTAATAGAACTGTACAAGAAACCCACCGACTCAAAGAAATTATTACAATTATTGACCAAGAAACCACTGTATATTCATTTGCATCAAACTGCACAAGGAATGATCCTGACATGAGTAACCTGGGACTTCTGGGAATTTTACCACTCGGTAGGAACCATCATAGCTCTGTGTAGCATATTCACCCTTCAGCAGGCAGGAAGCGGAAGTGAGTTGTACCCATGTCAGTTTGCCAAGGAAGTCCATTGCAAAGCTGTTCCAGGGACTTTAAAGTCCAGCATATCACGGACATGCTGGTTTGGATGCAGGTTTATTGTAGATTTTGAGATGTGTTCTTACTTCTCTGCTAGTTGTGCTATTAATAGTCTATTTTCTAATTTACCTCTACCCCTACCCTGCTTCCTGAAACAACACTGTTGAGGACAGGATGTACTCATCTGCAAACTTGATACAGCAAGAAGGATGTGCTAGAGTTTACACATCTGGTCCAAGCTCCAATGTGCTCTTTTGACTTGAGGTAATTTCAAACTTGGGATTGACGTGGGTAGGAGGGAATCAAACTGCTCTGAGGAGAATTGGACCCATTTCGCCACCTAAGAAGTTGTGTCTGGAAATGAAAGGTCCTTGATGGTGGCCCCAGTTCACTCTGCTCCGAGACTTTTCCTGTTTAGAAATAGCATGCCTTGGCCAGATCAGTGTCCCATGTGGAAGCATTCCACAGGTTGTAGCTGTGATGTTTTCCAGATGACCAGACTGTTTTTCTGAAACTGAGCATAGCTCTAGCCATGTTGATTAACTGTTCTACATCACTTTGTTATTCTAAAGATGATTCTAAGGTTAACATTGGAACCATCTCAGAATAATTATAAATTTTTGAATGGGTTTACAATGGGTCTTCTAAATCATGTAATCAAAAATATTTGACTCAGATACTAATGAGATAACTGCAGGAGTAACGTGTTTTTCTGACAACTGTTTGTGAAGCCTTCAAACCTGCATACCTCTTACAGTGAGCAGCATGTAAAATTTGGAGAGATGGGACCAGCAGTCATGTCTTCCACCACGGTTCGAGTCCTGGACCCGGTTGCTTAAACTCATGCCAGGCACGTGTGCATGCATGTCCAAGATCCTGAGAGGAGAATGGAGGAGAAGGGATTGTGGAATGTCCATCCACCCTGGGTGGTGATTTCTCTCCTTCCGTCTCTCTGTCTCTCTCTCTCTCTGTCTGGTGAGCACACGTACCCTATAGCAAAAACCTCTCCAAAAAAAAAAAATTTGGAGAGATATTCTATTTTTTATATAGGTAGATAGGATTGCCATTTATTTCATATTTGGATATATTGACATTCATCCATATGAAAATATGCAGGTCATTATCTTATTATAATTTGTTTGCATTAATTAATAGTGTGGGCATAAATAGAAACTTCATAGTACACATGAGGTGGATATTTGACACACAAAACTTAATTCTGATATGCTTTCCTAGAACACACATATTTGAATATTCACTATCTTAAATGAGCATTGCATGAGGGAAATGCAGTGTCAGTATTTTTAACCTATTTTTAAATGAGTATAATAACTCTAGTCATAGATTCAATATGTTTGCATTTAAAAAAATAAGTAACCATAATTAAGTTTTTTTAGCCTGTGCACTTCAAGAGCTCTAGTCTTCACTTTCAGTTGTCCATTAGGTCAATTCTGTTTCCTAGATGGATGTTAATAAAAGCCATCTGAGCCTGGAAGCACTCTGAACCAAATTTAGTCTTGTCTCCCATCTTGATTGGATTAATTCCAAATTCTAAAATGATTCCGTTCACAAGGAGATGAGAAAGAATTTGCCTTAATAAACTGCTTTGTTGTTCACTCAACTCTAGAGTTATCATATCCCCAAACTGTAAGCTCCTGAAAGGGCAAGAATCGAATTTTCTTCATGTCAGGTCAATTTTCTAAGGTGCATGACAGCACTCTGTACTTCATACTCAGTACCTTTCATTAGATGTTGCTGACAAGACCTAAACATAAAAAAAATCCCTTAAAACCCTACTTCTAAAATGTAGCAAAACCAAAAACAGAAGAAAAGTAGCTTTAAAAATGATGTCCATCAATAAGAAAGTAGTTAGTTCATCACTCTAGAATATAACTCCAGGCCCAGCAGGTGACTTGGAGGTTAAGGCAGCTGGATCCCACGTGACCAACTGCACAGTTCAAGTATTGGACCCAGCAGCTTGAAAATCATGCAAGAGCATGTGTGTGTATGTGTGCCCAAAATCCCAAGAGGTGGATGGAGGAGAAGGGACTGTGTTGTTGTGGCCCTCCCTCCTGGGGGGTGATTTCTCACTTTGTCTGTGGTGAGTGCAGGCACCCTATAAAAAAAATAATAAAACTAAAAATGATATAAGGAGCCACACGGAACATCTTAAGTGCAAGTACAAATCAAAATATTACATACATGGCTCAGCCTTGGTGACACAATTAATTCTGTACTGGATCGCAATGCAGAAAGCCATGTGGCTGATGGCAGGTTCAGATTCCCCAGGTCAGTCTGCAAATGCCCAAGATCCCAAGGAGCTAGAGAGCTGGGGGGAGAGAGGATCACAGCATGATGCCATTGCGTCAAGAATGCTTTCTCTCTCTCTCCCTCCTCCCCTCTCATGCTGTGCATACATTCTTCCTCATTAAGAAAAAAGGGAAGGGGGGAATCAGCAGTTGGCATAATGGCTATGTCACAGGACTCCCATGTAGTCAACTGCGGTTTGAGTCCCAGACCCAGTGGCTTAAACTCATGCCGGTTGCGTGTGTGTGCGTGCCCAAGATCCCGAGAGGAGAATGGAGGAGAAGGGATTGTGGCATGGCCATCCCCCCGCATAATTAAGTTTTTTTAGCCTGTGCACTTCAAGAGCTCTAGTCTTCACTTTCAGTTGTCCATTAGGTCAATTCTGTTTCCTAGATGGATGTTAATAAAAGCCATCTGAGCCTGGAAGCACTCTGAACCAAATTTAGTCTTGTCTCCCATCTTGATTGGATTAATTCCAAATTCTAAAATGATTCCGTTCACAAGGAGATGAGAAAGAATTTGCCTTAATAAACTGCTTTGTTGTTCACTCAACTCTAGAGTTATCATATCCCCAAACTGTAAGCTCCTGAAAGGGCAAGAATCGAATTTTCTTCATGTCAGGTCAATTTTCTAAGGTGCATGACAGCACTCTGTACTTCATACTCAGTACCTTTCATTAGATGTTGCTGACAAGACCTAAACATAAAAAAAAATCCCTTAAAACCCTACTTCTAAAATGTAGCAAAACCAAAAACAGAAGAAAAGTAGCTTTAAAAATGATGTCCATCAATAAGAAAGTAGTT